GAAGATGATGAGAGAGTTTGAGAGAGTTTGAGAGAGTTTGAGAGAGTTTGAGAGAGTTTGAGAGAGTTTGAGAGAGTTTGAGAGGATTTGAGAGGGTTTGAGAGGGTTTGAGAGAGTTTGAGAGAGTTTGAGAAAGTTTCAACAAGGGTTGAACAAATTTGAGAGATCATGAGAACATGAGTAGGAGCGCAAGGGCAAGCCAAAAGAAAAAAGAAACGATCAAAACATGAAACGGCAGCGCCGAACGGGCGGGTCTCAGTCTGGCTTGAAGGCACCCCCGCGCGCGCATGTGCGTGTACCTGGCACGGCAAACCTCATCCCTGCTCGGTTTGAATCAACAGCAGAGCAGGTGCTGGGGGGCTTGCCTTTGTCAATGGAGGATGGCACCCGTTCATACTTCGTCGTGAAGGTAAAGGGGCGCTTGCATCGACATCCCATAGCCGTGACCGCCGGCGCGACGGCACACACGGGGGCCAACCCTGCACCACAAGGGCCTCATCGTCTCTGCCAGATCCAGATGCGTTGCATGCCAAGACGTGCCCGGTCGTCGAGCCCGGTCGTCGATTGCCATTTCGGGGATCTCGAGGCATGCATTCCTTGATTGATGCGCCATTAGGGGCTTTACTGCGTCAGGCAGTCCGCGCCCTCTTTCTACCCGCACACACACACACACGCACACTCTCCCTCTCTGCGTGTGTGTGTGTGTGTGTGTGTGTGTGTGTGTGTGTGTGTGTGTGCGCGTGTGTCAATCGATTCACACACTCGCTCGCCGTCGCCGTCGCCGTCGCCGTCGCCGTCGCCGACACACAGACACACACAGACACACACAGACACACAGTCTCTGTCTCTCTCTCCATCTCATCTTGGGGCATGTCCCGCTTTCGGGGGATTAGAGTCGCCTCTCTGCGACTGTCGCTTTTGACGTAACTGTCTCTCTTCATGTCCCCCTTTGGCATCAAAACCTCTTTTTACGACAGTGCGTACCAACACATCTCTCAATTCCATTGCATCTCCACCTTGATCAAACCCACACTTTGATACTCTCTCTGACACTGACGCTGACATTCTCATCCCCTCTACCCTAAACAGGCACTCTAACCACACTCTCTTCATCAACACCCACATCCACCTCAAACCTCTGCTTGCACTTTTTCCCCACGCGCGGATCCGTTTGCGCGCTTCTCTCTCTCTCTCTCTCTCTCTCTCTCTCTCTCTCTCTCTCTCTCTCTCTCGTTCTCTCTCTCTCTCTCGTTCGTGCGCGCGCTTCTGGCTGTGCGCGCTCGGTCTGGGTCAAGAGGCCGGTCTGGCAACTCGAGACGTCGGGTATCACCTTCACCGCCAAGCCCACATCGCAGTGCTCGGGTTTCTTCACCTCACCCCATCTCTCCATCGGGAGGAGGGGCCACTCGCGTTCGCGTGTGTGTGCGTTCGTTCGTGTGTGTGTCGTGTTCCTTGAAGATCCCGCTGGCACTCGCTGCCCTCAAGATCAGGTACGCAAGCCGCTCGGCACCCGCTACTGGCCCCTGGCTCCTCCATCCAGGCACTGCCTGCCTTTTCTACCTCTCTTTTCCGCCCCTGCATTTATGGCCGCTGCCCTTTTGGCTCGCATTCCACACACACAAACACACACAGAGACATTGCGCTTGTGTTTCACACACGGCAGCGCGCCTGCCATGCCTTTGATGTCCTGTGCGACCTGCTGCCTTGCCCAAACTTTGCATGTACCCTCTATACACCCGTCAAGCATGGGTGCTTTCCGAAAAATTCCATTTCCAACCTGTCCCCCTTGGTGCCGCTGCCGTTTTTTTTTTGTTTTTTTTTTTATGTGTGTGTGTGTGTGTGTGTGTGGCAGTGGTGGAGGTAACATGTTGTCCGGCATCATGTTATCCGGCATCAGATCACCGCATCCAACGAGTCACACCGAGTTTAGTTTTCCATCATGCTTCTCTTTTGGCAGCCCGTTTATCTTCCTTCTTTGTAACCCCCCTTTCTTTCTTTCTTTCTTTCTTTCTTTCTTTCTTTCTTTCTTTTTTTTTTTTTTCCTTTTGGCACACGCTCGTCTGTTCTCTTCATCTACAGAGAGACGGGAGTGACTTGAGGCTCACACCACAGCCACCGAGGCATAGAGAGGCCAGTGCATTAAGACACCAAGTCACCGACACGAAAACAGAAATGCATGCAAACACTTGATTGACAGAGATGCGCGCGAGTCGACGTTTTCTCACTCACTGCTCGGCTTGATGACGGCAATGATAGGCCAAGGACCCACTTGCAACACACAACAAGTTTCAACCACACATTCAAGAGTACTTTCCGACGCACCAACTGCACCAACAGAGACAAAGGTTGAGCACAGTGCTGGTGACGCACGCATTCTGGTTTGGTGGCTCGACACGTGATGCCCGGGAACAAGTTCCGCTTTTCTCGGTCCCCCCACCCAACTGGCGGTGCCTGTAAGCGCACGGCTTTCTTCATCGCTGAAAGGCCGTATTGATTCCAATCGACCCCACATCACCCTTTCCCAAAGTTTGGTACCCCCACCATGACCCGACACCGAGCCGCGCTCATCACGCGCAATGCGTCGCCCGCCCGACAACGGGCTCAATGTTGTCGGCACACTGCCAAACCCAACCCCGCAACCGGCTACTCGCGCCGCTACCGCTGGGCGGCCACAGCCTTGGCAGCCCTCGTCCTTGTGGATATCTGCTCCCTAGCCACCGTGACCGTCAACGCAGCCTGCCCCGAGGGCACCACTCGCTCCAATCTAACCCTCGAAGCTCTGGGCTGGGCCACCTCAACGGCCACCGCCAGGCATGCTGTTGGCGATACTGTCGACATGGATGCCCAGGTCCGGGCATCAGTCGCCGCCTCATCCTCTCCGTCTTCTTCGTCAAGTTCATCAACAGCCAACCCCTCCGGCCAGGCCAGCTCCTCCCAGTCTGCTGCCAATGCTCGGACCTCAGCCATCACCATTGGACCACCGGCCTTTGAGGGTAGCATTGTCGTCATGTCCAACGCCCAGGGTCAACTGGAAGTCTTTGTGCGTACCGCTGGTGCCGGCTCCAACTTTAAGTATGTGCAGACCCTCAGCTGCGACAGCCCCCACTGTTCAGACCCTACCGCCCTGGCCGACCCCATCTTTGTGACCAGCGACTCGGCTTCGGCTGCTCCAACCCCTGTCAGCCTCAACGTATCCAGCACCGCAGCTACGGCGACAACCTTCGCACCCCGATCAACCCCCACGTCGCCCGACGACCTGCCCGCCTTTGATTCAAGCGCCAACGCGCAGCGTCGCCGCAGACGCAGCAAGTCCCAGCGCCGTTCCCTCGTCTCGGAGACTGGTAGTAACACCCTAAATGATTCAGGGGCGGACTCGGATTATGCTTCGACTGTTGCCACGCCTGGTGCCAAGCAGGACCAGCCATCTTCTTCTCAGCTGCCAGCACACTCATACAGCAACAGCAACAGCAACAGCCAAGACAACGACAGCGACGCCAATGACAACGACTTTTTGGAGGAGGAGTATGAGGAGTACGGTGGGTTTGTCGCCAATGTCGCCGACCGCGACCCAAGCCATGGCTCTGTCGACGACGGCAACGACGACGGCGCGGACGACCAGGAAGCAGCCAAAACTCACATTTTCAATTTCAACGGCAACGACACCAATACCATCTCTGGCAAGGGCGCCATCGACAGCAAACCTGCAGATGATGTTGCCGGCCGCGGCTCGTTGGGCAGCCAAGGCGACGACGACCTCAATTCCGATGACGCGGACGTTGATGTGGATGTCGACGGTGACGGTATAGGCGATGGCGGCAATATTCGCGGCGGCAGCGCTGGGGATGTTGTGCCAGAGGAGGACACCCGTTGTGAGACGCGGCGCAGCTCGGTCCTTTCTCATCGCGACCTCTGGGTGCGCTCCAGTAGTGACCCAACCGTCGCCTTTTTCTCCTGGAACGCCTCAGCTAGCCGCTATACCTTTGTGCAAGCTGTCTATCTCGGTGGCCTTCAACCCCAGAACCACTTTGCCGATTTTGTCAGCGACACGGCCGCATCCGAGCTCTACATGGCGGTGGGCGCTGCCACCGCCGGTGAACGCATGACCGGCCTCGTCGGCTTGTATGCCCAGCTCTCCACCACATGGCGCTTCGTTGCTTTTATCCATCCCCTTGAAGACTCATTTGACTACCAGCAGTTTGGACTGGCCCTCGCCGTCACCACGGATCGACTCTTTGTGGCATCACTGGAAGAGGCCAGCCCCAATCAGCCTTGCAACGTGTCCCGGCTCTACCACTTTTCACTCTCCACCACGGCGCTTGGCGAGACGAGCGCCATCCAGCGCGAGCGCCTGAGCATCCCGGGTATCATTCAGGCGCTGGCCGCTACAGACCGCTTTTTGACCGTTCTCACCGATCTCAACGAGTGTTACTTGTACGGCATCACCAACGAACTCTTATTTAGTGTCACGCTCGAACCTCTGCTCCCCTCTCACCTGCACCACGTGCAACTAAGCAACACCCACTTGGCCGTGGTGCAGTCGGCTGCGGAATCCACGCAACTCCTTGTGGGTACCCTCTTCGCCTTGCCCGAGTTGGCCAGCGCGGGCTCGGCGCTCATCTCAGACGCCAAGGGATACCTCCGTGCTCCCGGCTATGCCACGTTTGCTTTGGGTCCCTACTCTCTCCTAGCTCCGGCCCTCATGCCCAACAGCAACGTCGATCCCATCTACGAGCTCTGTCTCACTACTTGCTGGGAAACCGATGACGAGGAGGACGGCACCGACGGCGAAGAGGACGGAAGCGATTGGGAAGATTCGAGCACAGCCCGACCAACCATCCCCAGTCCCACGAGCACGGTGCAAGGCACTCAGGGATCGTCATTCTTCCACGATACCGGGGTGGTTATCCTGGGTGCAGCCGTCACCTTGGCCGTTTTGATCCTGGGTGCCGTGGCTTTGTCTTTGTCCTTGCGTCGCCGGCGCTTGCATGGCTTTGAGTATAGCGATACCGGCGAAGAGGACGACGAGTTGTACTTTTTCACCAAAGTGGGCTCGGATCAAGACGTGAATTCCGATCTTCCCTCTACAGCCCCCGCACCGCCTCCGCACCACAGCGTCCATCACCAGCCTGGCAACGCTTGGGAAACCTCGCTCGACGGGTACGCCTATAATGTCGCCGTGCTTGCACGCCCAAATCCATGGATCGCATGCCCTGTCATAATCCCCCCCCCTCCCCGTTTTGTTGCGTTATTTGCATACACCACATTTGTTTCCTTACCATATGATGCACGTAGGGGCTCTTTTGATCCATGGGAAAATGCCAGTGGTCGATTCGATTCGGGCCCTTCTGAAGCGCATGATGATGATGCCGTAGCCGGCGCTCAATCGGCACCTGAAAAGCTACCGCCAACTAAACGACACACGGCTATGGAGAAGCTTGTGTTCAACCAGGCCGTGTCCAACGGCGACATTCAGCGTGTTGCAAAACTCGTGAATGGCGATCGCACGCTCTTGTGGGAGTACTTGGATTCCAGCGGCCAAACCTGTTTTATTCGTGCCATTCTCATGGTGAGTGCCGTGCTGATGGAAACCCTGCGCTTGTGTCCAACGAGCGGAAGTTGGCCTGGCCTTGATGATTCATTTGTTTTCTCGTGTGCTAGGCTCAGCGAGAGATGCTTCAGGCCCTGTTGGAGATGGCGGCTGAGTATGCCGAACTTTGCCTCAGCCGTGAGGACGTGACAGGCAAGAATGCCATGCATGTAAGTTTCTCTTGGTCTACCGCGAGTAGATGTGGGTGGTGCAGCAAGGTGACCCATGCATGCTTGGTTGTCCTTTGAGGTTGTGTGGGTTGACGAGCAAGGTGGAGCTTTGTACTGACCCCTTGGTCCTGACTTGGTGGTAGTGGGCCATCTGCGTGAGCGATGAGGAGGTTGTTGAGTTGCTTGCCAATGTGAGCCCTCACCTTTTGGTGTCCAAGACGAGCACCAACGGCGACACGGTCCTTCATCTGCTAGGCCGCGAAGACAACATTGAGGTTTGTGTCCACGCACGTCTGTTTCAGTGCACGCATTTCTTCCTTCGATTGATGTCTGGGTCCGGCTGGAGAGCGAGCCATGCAAAAAGATTTGTTCACGTCAATCTCTTTCTCTCCTCTTTGGGGCCGTGTAGATGTTGCGCTTTACGAGCAAATTGCGTTCTGGTTTGGTGGAGATGCGAATTATGGATATTAACGACAGCAACAAAACGCCACATGAGGTTGCTCAAGATGCGGGTGCTGTCGATACGCCCGCAGCCTTGCTTGAGCTGTTTCGGAAAACCATTCGGCCCAAGGAGACGAGTCTGGATGCGGTGAGCGCTGGGACACCACAGCTTGTTGGGGCCTGGCAGCCGGGAAAGGCGTCGAACGGCTTTGGGAGAGTTGATTCTGGGTATTCTGGATGACGTTGCGTCTGACTCACATTTTTCCTTGGCGGCGCTTGATTGATTTTTTTTTTTGTTTAAACCCATAGCGCAAGCGAATGCAGCGCACGCTGGCACAACGGCTGTATCGTGTGCGGTTCAACAAGAAAACAACGGGCCCCGGGGCTACATCTCCGGATAGCGTGAACGGGGTGTCACCTGACTTGAAGCTGGATCGGCTTGGTGTGGCGTCGTCGTCCTCCTGGGCTCCTGCGCCGGGCACGCTAGGGTTGGATTCTGCTCAACAGTATGTGAGTGGCAAGCAAGCTCAGTACGACTTTTGTGATCCGTTCCTCAGCAATCCGATGGAACCCGAACACTTAGTGCTGGATGAGCATCTTCTTGATTCGGCCACCATGGCGTTTGAGCCATCCTCCAGCCTGAGGGCTGGGGTGTTGTTTTCGGATGAGCAACTGACCGCGGCTTCTCACGCCTAAGGCGGTCGTGCGCGTTGTCGTTTTGTGTGGGCCATCAGGGGCTTGCCTTGTAGTTGTGTGTGTGTGTGTGTGTGTGTGTTTTGCTGTTCTCTTTTGTGACGCAGCTTGTTTTCTTAGGACAGGGGCAGGCTTTTGCAGCGCGCTCCTACTTGCATATGCATCGTGTCTCCTTGGCACCTTTGCTCTTTAGGCAAGGCGTTTGTGTGATTTGTGATTTATGGTTTGTGGTTCATTTATCTCCTTCCAGCGCGCCCTGATCTCGCTTGGTCGTTTTATGCGGCGGTGAGGTTTACTCTTTCTGCCGTTTCTGGGGGAGAGGGCGGGCGCGTTGATCGGCCACTGCTTGATTGTCTTGGCCGGTCTTGTTGGCGTCGATTGTGTGGTTGTTGGCATGTGAGCTTGTTTGATCTAGCCTTTTTCTTTCTGAGTCAGCTTTTCATTTCAGTCAATGTATTCTTGGTTTTTTCCTTTTGGACTATTGCGTGTTGTTTGCAGCGGCATGTTGGCGCTGGCAGATTTTTGTCTTGTCGATAGAGCGCAGATCTTTGTTCTTCTTCATCATTCATCTACCTTTTTCCAATGCCCTTTTTTTTTTCTCTTTTTTCTTTTCTTGTTGCTCTTGGATGGGTCGGTGAATCCAATTGAGCCCAGCAAAGGGGAGAGTCTTGATGCGTGCTTTGTTATCTCGGGAGCCCAAGCCGCGGACGGACTGTCTTGAGGATGATGCACTTCGCATGATTGATGCGCCCAGCGTGGCGCGTCGTCAGCTGTCAAAACGCGAGACCGCCACACACGGTTTATGGTGCGGCACTTGGCACTCGAGAGGTGTGACGTCAGACCTTCGACTGTGGGTGGAAAGGGTCATCAGGGTGTGTGAAGGAAAGCGATGAGGTACGTATGGAAAGGAATGGAAAAGTAGAGATTGAGTCATGTGCTTTGACCATTTCTGGGATAGTCCACGGGTATGGGAGAGGACCACAGGCAATCGCAGAATCAACCGTCTCGGCCGTTCCGAGCCCCCTCTCGCGCGCGCGTAGAGAGAAGGGAGAGAGGAGAGGGAGAGAGAGCGGGGAGTTTGAGGGAGTTTAAGAGTTTGAGAGGAGAGTTTGAGAGAGTTTGAGAGAGTTTGAGAGAGTTTGAGAGAGTTTGAGAGAGTTTGAGAGAGTTTGTGAGAGAGAAAGACTTTGAGGGTTGAGAGGGCCCAGGCCAATTATTCGAATAGGGGTGATTGCAGTCGCGTGACGGTTTTCCGGAGCAGGTCAGTGTGAGCTGATTTTTTTCATGACAGGAGTGAGGACCTGTGTTTTGTGCAGAAGTGGCAGCCGTGAATGACGCGCATGTAGGGCGAAGCAGGGTGAGTCCGGGGGCTCGAGAACAAGGGTGCATGTGTCTGCCTTGGACATGGACATTGACGTCACGGCGTCTTGTCACTCCAGAAGGATGAGAGTCGAGGGATCGAAAGAGATTGAAAGAGATTGAGAGAGATTGAGAGAGATTGAGAGAGATTGAGAGAGATTGAGAGAGATTGAGAGATTGAAAGAGAGATTGAGAGAGATTGAGAGGGATTGAGAGAGATTGAGAGATTGAAAGAGAGATTTAGAGATTTAGAGTGAGATTGAGAGGGATTGAGAGAGATTGAGAGGGATTGAGAGAGATTGAGAGAGATTGAGAGAGATTGAGAGAGATTGAGAGAGATAGAAGGAGAGACGTCCAGACAGAGAGTGGAGGTGTTGCAGAACTCGCAGTCGGGTCCCCCCTTTTCAGACATTTCGGGGTATGGATGAGCTCAGAATCTGCCAGACATATAAGCGCGCGAGAGCGAGAGCGACAGAAGGGGTGTGATAAAGGGTCCTTGCTATGAATGCGTGCGTGAGTGTGTGCGTGTGTGTGTGTTCAAGCAGTCAACGCTGTTGGTGTCGAGTGACGTCGAAAACCTTTGGGGAGGGGGGGTTGGGTTAAGACGAAAAAAGGGAAAAAAGGAAAAGAGCAACAGTGAGCAGAAGAGCAGGTGAGAGAGAAGAGGAGAGAAGAGGAGGAGAGGAGAGAGGAGAGAGGAGAGAGGAAAGACGAGGAGAGGAGAGACGAGAGGAGCGGAGAGAGTCGAAGAGAGAGAGAGAGAGAGAGAGCCGAAGAGAGAGAGTCGAGGAGAGCACAAAGAAATCTCTTCCACCATCTCTCTCTCTCTCTCTCTCTGTGTGAGTCTCACATTTTTCTCTGCAGCAGGACGTGTGTGGTAAGTGCAACACTAACGCTTTGCTTTGCTTTGCTTGACACACACGTATATAAATGGCAGCGCCCCTGTGTGGTTGTGGTGGTGTTTTGGTATTGGATTGATGAGGAGGGAGGGGAGGGGGATCCTCGCGTTGGGGTTGGAGCAACGTGCATTTGGATCGGGTGCAGGCTTTGAACCTGCAGAGGTGAAAGGATTGGCATTTGAGGTTTTTTTTTTTTTTTTTTTGGCAGCGGGGCTTGTTTAATATGGCAGCCGGTGATCTGCGAACAGATCAGTCGCACAGATACACGCGAGCATGCGTTTGCGCACACGCGTGCGCTCTCAAACACACGGCCACACACGGCCACACACGGCCACACACACACACACACACACACACACACACAGGATCAAGAGTGAAGCGCGCACCACATACTCTCCCTTCCCTTGTCTTATATCATCTTGTGCCTCGCTGCCTGGTTCGCTCCCAAGCTCTCTGATCAACTTGTTTCTCATGTCTGGTGCATAATGATC